GCAGAGCCCTGCAGGTGGCTGTCACCTACTCCCACCCACGACTGGCACTAACCAAGTCACCTGGCAGATGCTACATGGTTTCTCAGGGCACACAGGAGGCCCTGAGGGCTACTTCAGGCACCATCAGGGCTGGGCAGGTCCCCAGAGACAGAGAGGTGTGGCAGGAAAGGCTGGCAGCACTGGTCCTGTTCCCACACGCTGGCACTGCGCAGCCTGCAGCTCTCCCTCAGTCCATGGTCTGAGAGCCTCTTCCCTGGGTAGCACTACTATAGACACGATCCCACGGCCACACTTAGGGCACACTGTCATCTGCAACCCCGGGATCCGGACACCTTTCAGGGCTGTCCCCATCTGCCAACCCATGCTGCTTATGCTGCTTCGGGCACCCAAGGCAGGGCGCTCCCCTGGGTGGGGTTAGAGCTGGCATCAGCTTCCTTGGCTGTCCTTGCTGCCACGCATAGCCTGCAAGGAAGTGCACCCTCGGCATCAAACCAGCCCCATGCAAATGACTCAAATGCCACACTGGGTACAAGACATGGACATGACCCACACAGCCAGGGGCACCTATCCCAAGTCCAAATCCAAGCAGACGCCAGCCACTTTGCTTCCTTTGCAGCCACTGTTCAGAGGATGAAAAGTGCACTGCCCTGGACAACCAAAGCAAGAAGTTACCAGATGGATCCTTCAGGGCACCACATGGAAGCTGCCCTTCCTCTCCCATAGCCCCCTAATCCCTCAAATAGCAGGAGATGCAGAAGGACTCACATTAGGAGGGGGGACTGCTGTGACAACACACACACAAACATGATTCTCCACAGAAAAACTAAAAACAAAAAAAGTTCTGTCTTTGGCTCTCCTTCTTGTACCTTCCCCAATTTCAAACGCAGTCATGTCATGTATACGTCAGTCAGTATGAACCATATACAAAGGTGATCCCATAAGCACATAATGGAGCTGAAAACCATATAAACCAATGCCTAGAGCCACTGCACATCAGTGGTGATCAACCTATAAACAAACCTACCACGCTACCAGCCATGTAAAACATACAACACAGTTATACACAGGACACTAGTACCAGACAGCAATGATAAATGACTACGTTACTTAGTGGGTGTTTTGCTTTTGTTTTTGTTTTTTTGGAAACAGGATCTTGCTATGTAGCTCAGGCTGACCTTGAACTCCTATGTAGTACAGGCTGGCCTCAAACTCATGGCAACCCTCCTGCCTCAGCCTCCCAAGTGCTAGGATCACAGGCATGCACCACCACGCCCAGCAGTGGTTTCGGTATACTCGCTTTTTGAGATAGGGCCTCATAATGGAGCTCACACTGGCCTCACAATCCTCTTGCCTCAGCCTGAATGCTGGGAATACCTGTGTGCACCGTCATACTCACCTTATTTACTAACTACAATTTTGATTGTTGTTTTAAAGCAAACTCCAGGGCCAGGGATATAGCTCAGCAGCACAACACCTGCCTGGCAAGCACAAGGTCATGAGTTCAATTCCTGGCATAAATAAATAAACTACTTAATTTTTAAAAAGTTTACAGTAAAACAGTATGTCATGTTATACCAACAACAGTTGTGAGCAGTGATCAAAAAATAAAATGAATGATTTTTATTCCAGTAAAACACACTGCCATTAATCTTCCTCAAAATACTCTCTCTCACTTTAAACATACTTATCCCATCATTCTTGCCACTTTCAAAGCAGTTGTGGAAGCCCTCTTGCTCATGAGTATCTTTAGTTGAGCTGTTGTAGCTGCCTAGATGTCCTAAATTGATTCAAAATGTTTACCTTGCCTGGTCATTTTGACTTTGGGGTAGAGCCAGAGGTCACATGGTGCCAGATCTGATGAGTAAGGTGGGTGAGGACACAGCCTTATATTTTTATGAACCTGTCATCCGGTCACAGCATTCAGTGCATTTCTGCTCACACCTCATAAAGACACTGACCAAAGAGGACTCCAGAGCTGCTTGAAAAAGTGTCAAGAATGATGGGTACATGTGTTCAAAGCAAGGGGGAATGTCTGACGGGGGCAGGGGGGGTGTTAATGGTACTGTGTCTTTTTTAAATTTAAAAATTCCCCATGTATCTTGATCACCCTTTACATATCTGATGTTCATCACATTATTGTCCTAAACTATTGAGGTTTATACCAAAGGATGGTCACACAGATTGAAATAGCCTATCAATTCATTCTCAAAACGCACCCTATCGTTAAGCTATACATAACCGTTTCTGATGATGGTAGAAAACACTTTTTGGAATAGGAGGAAGACACAGAAACAAAAAAGCATGACTCTGAGATAATAGAACAACTGTCCAAAAGTCGTACAGCTGTCCACCAGGCCTAAAGACTACGACCTGTGCAGACACAAGAAGCAAGAAGCCCAGTGTCTACCTAGGGCGGAACACAGCATTCACCACTTTGGGTGATGGCCCAGTGGCCCAGAGCTGGGGCTGGAGCAGGCGCCACCAGAGCTCCAAGCAGCCACTGTTGAAAACGGCGCTGTTGGCACCAGAGGAGTTCCTGAAGAGGTAGGCAAAGCCAGGAATATCCATACTGATTTCCAGTTGATGGCCCTGAGAAATAGAAAGCAATCTCAGTGGGCTAGAAATTCTAAATATCAGCGCGCACCTAGAATCCCAGCACTAAGTGCTGTCTCAAAAAAATAATTAAGAGCTACCAGCATAGGTCAGCGCAAAGGCCCTGGGTTCAATGCCCAGTACAAAGAAAGAAAGAGGTGGAGGGAGGGAGGGAAGGAAGGAAGGAAACTATTAAAAAATTAAGTAAGGGAGAGCCTCTTTTTCATGGGATCCCCTGAACAACTTCTCACAAGAGCTCACCGCCCTCTCTCACCATGGCCAGTCTGCTCATGACCTGGTCTGGGATGTCTCAACAGATGCTCTAAGCAGGTCCTGCCATGGGACATGCACAACCTGACTACACTCAACATCCCTCTCAAGAGCCACCAGCATCGCAGGAAAAAGAACAGGGCTGCCAGATCTGCTCCACCGAGCACTGTGCTCAGCGCCCACCCCTCACACCTTCAAGGCACCACACGTGCAGTCAGCAGGTGGCAAAGTGCCCTGAACCACCAGTGTCTCCAGACTACAACTCTGCAGCACAAACACATCTTCAGGTTCCCTGGTTATCACTACTCAAAGCTGAAATGTCTGCTCCTATACTAGGTAAAGAAAGAAAAGACGGGCCAGATGACACTTCTGGTTCATTGTTGAGCTACACAATCTGCTTTGAATACTTGGGTCCAAAACAAGTGCTTACTTCTCAGCCAGCCCAAGTGCCCATGTTCTCCCAGACTGAGTTCTGACCACTTGGTGGGCCCACTGTCCCAACACCTGAATACCAAGAACCTAGCACAGAGAGCTCTTTACATTTCTGCCTTGTTTTCTTAGATGCCTTTTTACTTCATTTATTTCCATTTGGGTAAAGCTGAAATGCCGAAGCCTCTTGAACCAAATCTCCTGATACAATGCAATCTTCCTGGCTTGCTGGCAGCAATCCCAGGGATGCCACCTTTACGTCAGGCTGGCTGGGCTACAAAGATGGGCACCTCGGTTTTGACAGGGGTCTTCTCTGAATAAGGGGGGTTATGAACACATTTTTACTCACTTCATCTGAATTTACCAATTATATAATGCATACATATAGCTCTAGGAAAAGAAACAATTGCATTTGGGAGGAAAAGCAAAACAACATTTACAAAACTCACTTTAAATTTCCAACTCCTAATACAAAGTTAGTGCTTGCTCCTGGGCAGAAACCTGTCTTCCAGAGGCAGACCCCAGCCCACTCCCACCCAGCTAATTCACAGCTCCCAGGACCCAACTCTACCATGTGATCACAGCATGATGCAGATGTGAGTGACTTCAAACCAGACGCCGGGCAAAGTAATACAAAGGCTACCAGGTATAATGGCCTTTTGATATGTTAAAGATAACTTCTAATCTCCACGCTGTAGTAATAAAAATATTCTCAAAGTCTGTTGCCCACTCATTGGCCGACTAAGTGCAATTTTACTAACATGCATGCCGCGTCTGAGTAACAAGCCAGTCCCTGGAACTGTCCCCCATCTCAGGGGTTCACACCCCTGGCCAGCCACACCCACAGAAAGTGTGTCACTTTGAGACTGGAGGAAGTGCCCAAGTGAGTAGAAAAGAGCCTGTTCACCTGTAAAAGGAAAAGGAGGAGCTCTGTCTCCAGTGTGAAAATTCATCTACTCACTTACCTCATATTCTTAACAAGGCAAAGATCATTTTTAAAGATAAAAGAACAAATAAAGCAAGTCAGTGTTAAAAGGAACAGGTCAAGAAGACAAAAATTAGGGGATGGGGATGGACAGAGGGGGGACTTGAAATGGCCTAGGTCACAGAGAGCAGGATGGGGCCCGACTCCACAAGCCGGACAGGGAGCACATGGAAAGCCTCCACATCAGACAGCCTTCCATGGATCCGACAGTGTCTGAGCTACCCAAGAAAACATCACAAAATAAGGACGGCTGCAGCAAAGCAGGAAGGAGGCCCCCATCTCCCTCCCAATGGCAGTCCCATTCTAACCTCCACTTCAGGGCTGCCTTCCTGACCATACAGCTTCACTTTCCCAACCAATTATTTTTTTAAAGCCCTACAAGGCCCCAAAATCAGTTATGAGGATGTTTCCTTATATAAAGATGGCAACACAACCTGGATGCTCTGAGACTCAGCGATCTGGGAGAATGAGCATGGCCGTGTTACAATGACAATGTCCAGCTTACCCTAGAGATCACCAGGCATGAAGGAAACTGGAAAATATAAATTGGCTCAAGTCTGTTAGCTAACAGTTTCAAAATATCCACATTCCCAAAAGCTGTGGTAAATGAGCAGACCACACTCTGCGGACTACTAGGAAATATAGGGCCATCTGGCAAGGGCCCTGCAGGCTCCAGGCCTCCTCACTCCAGGCCCACCGTCACCCGGTGCTCAGGTGCGCTTACCTATGAGGGGGAATATAGGGAGCACAGACGGTCGGCAGGACCGCACAAGGCTCAGCCAGCGTTTTCTTAGCCTTTTTTGCTTTCTTCCTGACCTTGGACGTGGACCTGACCGTTTTGACTGAACTCTCTTTTCTACAGACACCATTTTTCATTTCAACATCCCCATAAATGTTCAGAGGCCTGCGTGTACAGCCCGGAGGCGTGTGGACGTCACAGTACGCGGTCTTTCTGACGGAGAAGGTGGTGCTGCCTCCCGTCAGTTCCTTCACAGGCTCCATCTTCATGTATAGGCCAGCCTTCTGGGCACACGTCACGTGGAAGGCTGTGTAGCAGTTTGCTTTGTGGCACTGGATGCAGGCGCCCACGCCTTTCTGCTTACAGAGGTAACATGTCAGTTTCCACCGAGCTGGAGGGATGTTCCTCACACCATCAATGGGCTCAATGAACACGGTGTTGGCAAAGCCGACCTCTGGGATCCATAGGGCACACACCACGTGGCCCCAGCGGTCATCGTCTGTCTTTTTGAAGGCACCGCCCTTGTTGGGGCATAGCACACAGTCGGCAGGACGGGCCCGGGACTGCAAGCAGTGGCGGCACAGCCACTGGCCCTCGGGGATGTAGGGCACCCCGTAGCACTCCTGGTGCACGGCCAGGTTGCACAGGTCACAGAAGAGGATCACGTTGCTGTTCTGACACTCACCATCCATGCAAATACAGCACACGGCGTCCTCGTCAATCAGAGACTGCTGCTCACCCTGCTTCTGGTTCTCACAGTACGACTCCTTCTCAAATCGGTCCATCAGGAACTCAAACATGTTCTGCGACACTGCAGAGACACAGTCGCCCTTCCGCTTTTCGTTGATGATCTCCAGCCAGGCGTAGTCCTCCTCATCCATGTCATACTCCACCTCGTTGTCCAGCTCCTCCGCTGACTTCTCAATGAATTTGTAATACATGGGGGGCCTCCTGGGTGCTGATGGGGGGCTGTACTCCACGATTCGCACCTTGGGCTCAGGAAGGGTGCTGGCTGAGGCAGGTGTGCCATGAGTGCTAGGCAGGGCTTCGTTTTTCTTTTTCACTCTGTTGTTTTTGTGGCGCTTAGTTCTTAAGCAAACGGGTGGCCTCTCGCTGTTTTCTTTATTGCTGTTGCATTCACTCATTTCCTGAGCAGTGAGGTCATCTTCCAATATGATCTCAAGGGGATCAAAAATACTGATCCGATGCAAGCGCCCTTCGATCTCTATCTCGACCATCCTCTGAGCTTGTGCGTAGGTCAGGGTCTCTCGCGTGGGGGAGTGTTTAACACTGCATGGGGAGGAAGCGTGCCTTGCTGCAGAGCCTCGATGGCATCGTCCTTTCCTCCTCATTTGGCAATGATTACCTAAAATGAAGCCAAAGCAGAAGTTACAAACAGGATGTCAAAAGACCTGAGCACATGCTCAAAGCACACCTGTGCAGCATTATCAACACAACACCTCAGGCAGGAAACTCACAGCTGACACATCACTGAGGTTCCCACGGCGCTCCTCCCCAGGACTCAGGACCCCACTTCAAGATCAGGGCACACAAAGCAGTTGCTTCAGGAGCTCCTGAGGACAATCCCTGGTGACTCACCACTCACCTTTTCAGGCCAAGTCAATAGGTCTCCAAAGGGACAGCACCAGGCCCTCCAGAGTACACACCCAGCCTCCAACCCATAAGCAAATGGCTATTTTTCTGTCACCTCCACCAACAGTCCAACACTACACTAGACTCCACCAGGCATGGAGGCTTGGACTACACAGCAGGCATGCCCAGCAGTTACCCTGTCCTAAAGAATACTCCCTAAATACACTTTCCCCTCCCACTGAGCCCAAGGGACTGTCCTTGTGAGCCCAAGTGCACCTCAGTACTCATAGCATCCCTGCCTAGGGGCCAGCTACGTAAGATGGTAAGACACAGACCCAGCCTGTCCCTCCACTCCACAAACATGTCCTTCACACCTCCCCACAGCCACACAGAAACCAATGAGGGGAGCCCAGTACCAGCCTGTGGGAACATCTTTACCCTAGAGGACCAGCCCAGCTTCTGCAGAGCCTTGGATGTGACAACCATGGAACCCCCACCCTGGGCCCTTCAGTGTATCTACCCCCAAGCTCTGGCTGGACTGCTACTCTGGCTCACATCCTCTTGTTCACATAAACCCAGCTCTGCACACCACGCATCTCTGCTGTCTTCCCAGCACACTTGAAGATGCTCAGCTACTGCTCCCCAGTGGGATGACCAGGCACGGCCTGTAGAGCCACCACTGGCTCAGGTGCCCAAAAACCTGGTCCCAGAGATTTGTGAGCATTTGCTCTTTTCAGAGGTGGGCAAAATACAGTGAGGGGACAGCTGATCCCTCCACCCAACAGCAAAGAACTCTGCTGTCACCTCCTGCCTCAGTTTCTGAGGTCCCCTCATATGGCCTGGTGCCTAGGCACCTCAGGTGAAGACACGCCACCAGAGATACCACCACCAAGCAAGGCAGACCCCTAGCAACAACAACAAGAACTGCTTAGACTCCTCCCTCCAAACAGCCACATTTTACCGACAGGGAGCAAAATTATTTTTAACTAACTCACAAATATTCCAAGTTGCAGCCCATGTTAGTGAGGAAAGCCCAGCACCGGGCTAACCAGAGAGCTATAATTCACAGCCTCACACCAATATAGTTGGTCTTCAAAGAAAGCCCTTGAGAAGCAGGACTCACTTCATCTCAGCAAACCCTACATGCACTTTTTCAGACAGACCCTTGAGATTATAGAAACCTACACTGAAACTGGACAAAAATTTCCTAGATAGGACTACGGGAGACCTGGTGGTCACCTAAACCCCAGCTCAGCTGCATGTGGGGAGCCTGCAGGTGCCCACTCAACCCAGGATTCCCACAGAGCTATCAGCAAAAACCCACTCTAGCAGCCCTGCACCTCTAGCAGCAGCCCCTAAGGTATCAGCACCACATCCTCCAGAGGGGACCCCAATGCCCACAGGGACAGCTCCATGTCACCGCTGAATGAGGCAGAAGCAACAGTTGGATCTGGTTACAAGAAAAACACAAATCTGCTATTTTCTTGTTTACAGGCAAATTCAAGTAGCTCTAACTCTAACCAGCCCTGCAATACCTACGGCCTGCCAGTAAGCACTGAAGTCTCTACCATTCTCTGTAAGAATTTAACATAAAACTTAATGGTCACAGTGGCTCTGCAATTTGAAAAAGTAATGACCTCAGGAAAGGAGGCATTTAGCAGCACCACCCAGCAAAGAGTGGCCAAAGCCCTCATCCTACACCCACAGGCTCTGTGCTTGGCGCTCTAGCCCTGACCACACTCAGTGCTCACGTACACGGACAGCATTTCCTCGGGGAGGGATCAGCAAGCCAGTAAGCATGCCTCTCCACAAATAACTTTAAACATCCTGAAAAGTTCTGTGGGCAAAAGAGGGGAGGACACTCCACACGCGTGATCAGCTGGTGTGTTTCCTGCCAGGCTGTGGACAAGTCATTTAAACTCTCCCAGCCTCCGCCCCTGTACTACAAAGTGCAAACAGGAGACTCCTCCCTGGCAGCAGCGTGACCCTCCAGGGAGTGAACACGGAGCTCAGGCAGTGCTGGGCAGCGCAAATAACACCCAAATTCCACAACTGCGTGCTGCCTGAAGGCACTGGAAACAGGCTGCAGCACTGGGAAGCTTTCTGGAGTGATAGGAACTTCCTTCACGAAGGGGGCGGTTTCCCGGTGTGTATAAAGTGCCCGAACTCTGCTTTCTGTGAACTATGCCTCAGTGAAGCAAGGCCCAGGAGAGCCCGCGCTTAGTTCACGGCGTTTCCTGCACACATCCTGCGGGCTGACCGAGGAGGACAGGACTGGATGGGCGCCCCCCGGCTGCTCCGGAGAGACCGGGCTCATCCCTACCGAGAGAGTTTCCTGTCCTGGCAAAGCAGATCGGGCCTATCTGTTACATAATGCGACCCGCGCGAGTGCGGCCGGGGCTCCGAGAGGGACATGGGCCTGCGCCGCAGACCCCGTCACCTCCCCGCCTCTCCACCTCGCGATCCGCCCGGCCTGACCCAGGCTTCGGCCTCCCCACCTCCGTCGGCCCGCCCGATCTCGGCTTCCCCAGCCTCCTCCACCCTGGCCTCCCGACCCGCCCAGCCTGATCCCAGCCTCCCGCCTCCCGATCCGCCTGGCCCGACGTCTCCAGCCTCCTCGGTTCCGGAACGATCTTGGTCCCGGAACGATCTCGGCCTCCCGATCCGCCCGGCCCGAGGTTTCCTGGCCTCCTCAGCCCCGGCCTCCGCCTACTGATCCGCCTGGACGACGACTCTGGCCTCAGCCTCCTCAGCCTCCACGGCTTCCGCCTCCTCCGCCTCCCTACCGCCCGGCCCGACGTCTCCCGGCCCCCTCGGCCTCCCGACCCTCCCGGCCCGACCCGACCAAGCCTCCTCGGCCCCGGCCTCCCCGCCCCAAATCCCGCCCGACAGACGTCTCCGGACTCCTAGGCCTCCCGTCCGCACGCCCACCCCGGCCTCCCGTGTCCCCGCCAGCCGGCCGACGCCGGCCTCCCCGCTTCCCGTCCTCCGCCGTGGACAATGCGAGGCCGCCGCAAACATGGCGCCTGCAGCTCCGCCCGAG